ATTACCAGTGCCTCTCTCACACATAAGTCATTACCGCGGAAACCAATTATTGTGAAGTTGAAGGAGATGGATGTGAAGTGGGTAGATGTGCGCTGGACCCGTTGCCCTATTTGGATATTTAGGTATTTCTGCTTTTTGACCGAAGGGGAGGCATAAGGTTACTTTAGTGCATGGTAATGGATAAGGAGGGTGGCAATGTGCAAAAATCTCTCCCTGCCAAAAGCCTTCGACTCAAAACCCAGGTTGTGGGAAAAGACTGATTTAATTACTGCAGGTGCATTTTGTTGCTGGTTGAAACTATGCTTGCAGATGGCATGAGTGAACTGCTCAATGGGCATCATCTTATTTCCAAGTTTTGCCGCATTAAAGGGACAGTATGTAAAATATTTAAATTACATATATTCAATTCAATTTATTCTTGTATAGCCCTAAATCACAACAGTTTTGTTTTCTCGGAGGACTTCACAAAGCTGTCGATTCGCCAACACAGAAAAAATGAGGTTCTTAATCTCAATGGGACTTCCCTGGTTAAATTTAAAAAAACAAAACAGATGAAAGAATCAAACGGTTCGTTGACAGGAAATTAAATGGTAAAAAAACACAGAGGCATTTGTCGATAAGGGACAGATGACCAATGTCCTAAAATATCCTTGAATGTCCTGGATCATCACCACTGTCCTTAGACCCTTCTGTGCATCTTTAATATGCGTCCCCAGATAACAGTCAAAAGTACAAACCATTTTAGATATTTTCTGAACAATAGTTAACAGTGGCATTTATTTCTTATTAAAAAATACAATGGACATGACTGTTTAGAATATTTATCATATTATGTTTAAGGTTTTCAAGCAGATTATGCAGTCGGAGCAGATCTCATTCGGGTTGAGAGCCCGTTAGGTGACATTAAGCTGGTCTTGGCTTCATGTTAAGCAGAATAAAAATTAGTTCAACCCTTATGCTAGCCTCGGGTCAAATTTACTCACCACAGTGATTCAATAATATCTCTTTGTTCTGTTTTTTTGTTTTATTTTAATAATATTTCCTAACTTGACCAGCCCTGGGTCATTTAGACCATTTGCAACCATAATTTAGGGTTTTTTAATTATATTTTTTTATCACTACCCTCTGGTTAATGACCCGAGGGAAGCACAAGGGGTAATAAAAACAAGCAGAAAATAAGTCACACGTACCACACAGTTTGTAATGAGTCTAGCTAAACTCCAGCAGGTGGATTGCTTCAGTAATCTTTGCTCAGGAGCTACATGCGTCACAAAAGTTGGATGGTAATCGCAAAGCCTTCATCAAACCACTGAGAGTCCATTTTACATACTGTCCCTTTAACTAAACTTTTAAAGCAATAAGAAGAATCAGAAATGTTTATAATCGGGCTGCAACAAGTTAATGGATTATTGACTTATTTAGTGTTGGATTTAATAGTTGTTTTTAACCTTGCACAGATGTAACCATGCGAGAAGAGGTTTTATGACTTGGATAATTCTGTAATGACTGCAAGAGGTTCTCCAGGTGCATGACGTGGGCTTTGTTTTTGTCAAATGTATAAAAGAAATCCTGTATTCTAAGCTTTCAGGACCCAAACAACAACAGAAATACTATTTAGGAGAGTTTTCCCAAATTTGAGGAAAGAACCGCCCTCTCTACTTGTTGAAAAAACTATTCTTATTGGACGAGCACGTATCAGCAGAATGATTGACACTCGGGAGGACCAATAGTCTTGATGCTCCACCCGGATGTAAAGTCTTGCACCTTGAGTTTCTCCTTCTGTCTCCGTCCAGGTGAAAGCAACACAAGTTATTACAGAAATCTTTTGTCAGTTGTACAGTTTTTAATCCAGGCTCAAAAATCAAGTTGAAATATTGTGTAAATGTTGAATGTATTTGACCTGTGTACTCACTTTTCGGTACATTTCGGAGCTGGACAGATAAACGACAAAGTGCTAAAACATGCTATTTCTACAGCTGTGTCAAATGTTGAACATTTTGCAGAATGTATTTTTGCTGCTGTCGAACGGCTCGTATTTTAAATTTCTCAATCGATAAGGAACCGGTGTCGCTGGACTCGGCTGCGTGGACAATATTCCAAAGGTTTATACTGAGCACTATATATTTTCTAATCGATCAGATGTATTTTGGAGATGAGAAGGAGCGCTGACAGTATTCTCTTGGCACATTGTATCATGTTTGTGTGACAATCTTTTACACTCGGAGACACTGCTGAACACAGATTTGTTGATAAATGTTTTATAATAAAATTAATATTTAATTTTAGCGTGTTTGGACATTCTTGACTTATTTCTAGAACATATCAATATTGATTTCTGAAGCTGAAGGACTTAATCTAGAGCATGTCAAAGTCAAATACATCAGGATAAAAAAACAAATTTGCTACAAGCCGAGGGCTGGAGTAGTTCAATGTTTATGAAAACATGTTTAAATTATTGTATATAACCTATTGAACCAAGACCTAACACTGAGGACAGTATTTTATTAAATGTCAGTAATTTTAAAGGAGCAGTATGTAAAAAATCTGGCCAAAAGTGATACTGCAACCTCTCCCACTCTTCCTGAGTCATGTTGCCAGATATGCAGACAGTCTCCGTCTCCGCCTCCATCCACAGACCTGAGCCTTCAACACCTTTTCAGTTTCACCAGTGATTTTTTCTAAAGTATAGCTGAGTGATTGTGATTGTGACATAAAAGTGCTGCTGCTGCTTGTGGGAATCCATGGACCATCCAGAGATCATGATGGAGAACAGGAGGAGAACAATTTTTTATATATTGACAGATGCGAATGATTGACAGCTCACTCTATTGTTTTGCAACACTACAAATCACATGGTAAATGTTTGAACAATCATGTTGCCATGTTGAGTGTAGAATGAGCCGTGTAGAGAAGGAAAACATGGAACCACAAGAACAAACTACAAAAAGGAAGAAGCCCAATCCTTTCACTTCCTGAGTTTGTGATTCTCTGACGATGCTTTGTTGCTATTGCATTCAAAGTAAACAACAATAACCAAAGATAGATGAAGTGGTCGTAGCTGACATTCTTTCCATGTGTTTGCACTTGACAGAGTCCCTGCACTCTCTCCTGCAGCACTTTATCACCTTATGTGTGAGCCACTTGGAGGACTCGCCGGGGAAGACCCAGGACACGCTGGAGGGACTTTGTGTCTCAGTTTGATTCCCCCAGAAGAGCAGGAGGTAGTGTGTGTGGAAGTCTGCGCGTTTGTGAACTTATCCAATGTACTCAGAGACTATAGTGAGAGTGGCCACACCTGCATCTCCAGATCTCAAAAGCTAAGTATGGCAGGACCTGGTCAGTACTGTGATGGAACCTGGTCACTTGAACCTGATTCATCATAGAGACAATCCCCAAACAGATCTGAACAAGGGATTCTGTTTCACTACATTGTTTCTAAGAATTATATTGGTTTAGTTACAAGTGTTTCTCATGCTTATAACATATTGAGCTAACTTGCCTCTAATAATAATAATAATAATAACAATAATATGAATAATGCATTGGTTTTATATATTGGTTGTATATTGTTTTTTTTTTTCAGGACACTCAAAGACGCTTCACATGTAATTTTCTTTCACTCCATACACAGTGGTGATAAACTACTACTGTAGCCACAGCTGCCCTGGGGCACACTGACAAAAGCGAGGCAACCAGTCTGTGCCATCGGCCCCTCCGACCACACACACATACACGTTTTTGTTACCTGGTGGGTCCCTTTGACAGGGCCATTCAGAATGGGACCCATAGACATAATCTTTTTTACTGGGACTACTTTAAGTAATACAAAACAGTCAATAGAAAACAAACAACTCTTTTAAAGGAATTTTATTTTAGATTTTTTTTTCGAATTGCAGTGATTCTATTTTTGACATAGAATTTAATGCCACTCCATGTCCGATGTCTAAGGTCATCTGGTGAGGCATTAATGCAGGCCAGGCAGTGAGACTTCCCAGGGACTTTCCCAGTCTGTATGAAAGGTGTCATGGTCTTCTCCACAGCCTTCACCTCAGATGCAGACCATGGCTTTCTCTAACGTTCTAGGGAGAGAAATAAAAATATATTAGCAATATACACTCCCAGGGTGAGGACCAAGCAGCCTGGCTGTAATCCCCCACCTGGTACACTTACCAGAAGGGGCACTGCCACTACCATGGGGTGCATCTGGATGAATGGTTGAAGGTTCTCCGCTTGAAGTTTCTTTTAGCCCGTCCGTTTGTGAGAGGATCTCTACTGCTCTCCCTGTCGCACAGAAAATAAAAATACAAGTGGCCTTTAGGGGAAAAAATTATACATATTTTAATAATATCAAGAATTACCTTCAGGCTCAATTTGTATCTGGTCGAGGCCCTTTCCTTTGAATTCCGTCACTCTTCCCTGCTCCATGGCCATTAACACTTTGCTGATTTTGGCCAGCTCCAGTGTCCCCTCTGGCAGTCTGTAATATTGTCTGTGGATGCGAATGTCATGGCCGAGGAAGTTGGCAAGTATGTCCATCTCATTCTCTTTCATATTGAGAACTGTAGACATAGTAGCTATGTGCTTTCTAAGTTTGGTTCCACTATTCCTGATCAAATCAAACTGAAGTTTACGTGCTTTAGATTTCACAGGTAGAGCCAATGCTCTGGCTACGTCACTTTCATTTCCATGTTTTCTAGTCAAATGACGGGACATTTTGTGGCAGGACATTGAACAGTAGAGGCAGAAGTGTCTCTTGCTGTAAACTCTGCCCCCATTTTTCTTCTTTTGTAGCTGCATGATAACAATCTTATTTGCCTTTGGTTCGT